ATTGCACAGTTTGTTCTGAGTTCCTCTGAGTCTCTGACAACGACGATTACGTCGTCTCCAAGGAACTGATGCACGAACCGCTCTTTAACGAGGTTCATGCCACCGTCTCAGTTCATACGGTTGCGGTTAACGGACGCAAGCCATCGCGAAAATCTTTCGAGAGACTGTCTCCCCGACGTACTCCTCTGTCGATTTTGATTAGACACGGTTCTTCGAAGATAGCTGCATAAGTACTTAGTCACTCGACCAGGTCATCTAGATAAGACTGATACTGCAGTCGTGGATGGCGTTCAATGTGGCGCTCAACACAATGGGATCGAAGACTTTTCTGTACTGCATGAAACGCAGTTGGAGGAAACTGTATTCCTAGAACTTCTCTCTTAACTGCTTTACAGGGTCGATGTGGTGTATGGCGGAAAACCCTGATTGAAAACTGACTTGTTCTTCACAAACCAAGTTTCATATCTTTCCTGTTATGACTGAGAATGATTGAGGTGAAAACTTGTGATGGCATAGAGATGGGTTGATAGTTCTGGAGGTGTTCAGTATCGTCTTTTTCGATTAGAATATTCGTCGATGGGCTCTTTCACGCTTTTTGCGTCTTCCTCAGCCTGATGTAGCCCGTAAGTCATTTGGCAAGAACTTTTAAAGAAGGCCATTCCTCATAACTTTAAATGATGTGGTTTTATGACGTCTTTGCCAAGATATCTGCCGCTCTTAATTGTCAACCTACTTCGTCCTGAGTGATATCCGCTTTGGTTTTGTGACAACATACGGAGGCTTCCGTTTTATTTCTAAATGTAGTCATAAAAAATCGTGCAGATCATGCTGTAACAGCGATCCAAAGTTCATGTTCCTCCTTGGCCCTTCAGTGTCTTCGTAATTAGCACTTTTAGGAAGATACCCATTTTCGCGGCCTTCAGGCTATTCTTCTTTAATGTGGTCTCTCTTAGCTTCGTTTTCCTGTATTCGTCATAATTCTCCGGAATCTTTGCCACACTTCTTTGCACAGAGCAGTGTGTCCGTCTTCCAGTTATACATCAACCGTCACCCTGGCTATTCTTGCCAACAGCTGGGCAGCTGCTGATTGCAAGGCTGGTGTGCTGTTTCCTCGTAACTGGCCGGCGGAATGACCGGGTGGTAGTCTTGATTGTATCGATAAATGCTGCTAGTCTGCGTCGATGCCTCTGCTGATGCCCGTTGCGAGGTTCGGCTGCTGAAGCCTGTATGCGAAAGCTTCATGATCGAATATTCGTCCAATGGCCAGTAGAACTTGAGCCCTTTTAAACCAATCTTCACTAACGATATCGACAGTAAGCAGGGTAGTCGGTGACCTGATTCATTGTAGACGATATTTTCTCCAATGACAGGCAAAACTGGTATTATCCGTCTTGTGTCCCTCAGCACGCAGTTCACTGGATCACGGGTCATACCACATCTTGTGGCTCCACCCCATCCACTTCACTTCACGGCTTTTTTAAACATGGCATCTAGGAATTGAAGGCGGTCACTGTCAACAAACGCTTCAAAACTGGAATCGCATTCGTTCCGATCTCCACTTGCAAGTCTGCCGATGAAACACCTTGTCCCGATGTTTCTCTTTTCCGACAATGGCACTGAAATCTTATTGGACGGTTGTGTACATGGGCGTGTTTTGCTTTGCGCTTTCCAGTTCCTCATAGGACCGCTCCACCCATTCATCGACCGCTTGTTGTGCCGGGCGGTAAACTTTGATCATGTTGTGCGATCTCCTCTTGCCCACCCGCAAAATTCGAACGGCTACAAGAAGTCGCAACTGAGTGTGAGCGGCACAGTCCTCGTTAACCCTACTCTGCCTCTCTTAGTCCAATTTTCGCACGCTTTTCTGAGGAATATTTATTTTACTGTGTGATAATTTTGGCGGATCTTCAAGGTTCCCACACTCTGAGAACATCTGCTTTTTGATCAGTGATGTAGATATCGACGGAGTTCTGGTGTTGTGGCTACCCTCGAAGACCTTGATGATGTCCTTTCGAAGTTTGCCGCGTTATGGCCGTCACCGGGTCGAATGTAATGCCAGTTTTTGGCAAGACGACGCGGATGCTTGCACTTGCATATTCAGTATTTCATCGTGCGTAAGGCATTTTTTGCGTTTTGTAGGAAGTTATTCGTGGCGATAACCTTCGTGACTTATGGCCCTTGTCCTTCTCCCATCAATCAGCCAATCGAGATCCAGAGGAAAAGCGCTTGATGAACTCTTGGTTGGGGTACGGCTCCTTGACCATCGCCTCGTCTCACCGTCTCACCCTACCGGAAAGGGCGGACTGTGGCATATTCAGCCGGTTCATCATACAAATTTTTTTAATTATTCAGTTCTGATGGCAATTTTTCCTTTCAGGTCATCAGGCAGCAGCGTCAGACAGTGTTTCCAAAGTTCGTGATCTTGCGCCAGCCCCTGAGTTTCAGCGAAAAAACCGGGTCTAAAGCAGAATTTGCCGAGGCACATTCGCCTGATCAATCTTCATCTCTCTCGAATCTCAAGCCGATCAGTCGAACAAGGAGTAACCCTTTCTCTCTCCGTTCTGGTCACATTGACAGGCATGTCCAAACCACTGGAGGTGTGGCTTCTCACTCTGGAAAAGCAGTAACTGTACTCAAAGACCTCCTGAGATATCTTAACGCCGAACTTTGTCATGAAGCGTGAACCGTTTGCGTTTGTCTCATATTTACATAAATTGTAAAAAGTTAGCATAATCAACTGTGCCAAATTCACAAACAAAATCACCTTGACTTAGTGTACTGATTAACTTACTGTACAGATCAAAGGATTGCTGCTAAAAAGGCACAGAAAATAAATGAACCAAAACTTCAGGAATTGTAAGAGCACCGTATCGACGAAGAAACAACTGTGTGAGAGGTTATGCACTTTCTTTATACTTCAAAGTAATATTTGGAAGTTCAGATTCAAAACATTCAGAAAGTTCTATTAGCTCGATTAATTGTATCAATCTGGCCACTGTTTGAGATGATAACGCTGACTTTATTGAACCTTCTAATAGCTCTTTAATGCACAACTTAATTAAATTAAGTTAATCTTAAAAAATACACAATTTGATTATCGTGTTCTGTCTCGTAATTAAACACGAGTTATGATCTCAATAATTCACCCTCGGCTAACAATTAGTCCATTTTTCTTTCTGACAGGTTGACGTTAAGAACACGGAAAGTATCATCGGTTTATCTGGTTATCATACGACTGCAATAAATTAGCGTCATACAAAAAAAACACTAGTTAATCCATTTCTGGAGTAATATCTGCAAACGGTAGCCTTCGGTCCTTTTGTACAAATACCGTCAGACTTCAGTTCACCTTAGAAATACGGTCTATGTTACCATGTACTACGAGGGCTGAAATACCGCGGAGCGTTTGCCTGCCTAAATCATCCTCCTAGGCGTCTAATGGCAAAGGAGGGTGCACTTAATTCAAGTTCATGCGTATTGTAAAGTGACTAAAAACTGACTTCTTCCATAACATAGCTGACAGTGACTAACGCCTTCTTGTCAGTTTATAGTTTCTGTGTTGGTATCATGGAAACCAGTTACAGTGCGATCAAATATCTGGAGTGGATAATGATTGCTGATTGCTAACGTGACCCACCAAACCTGCAATCATTGTCGGCTAGGCTGCATCTTTCAACAGAGGAGTAGATCACCACGGCGGCCTTTACGGTTTATCATAAACCTTCGCAGCTACCGTAGCAACTAAATAAGTTCGTACATCACGAAGTTCAGCTCACTTTCAACCATTGAAGCAGAACTTCATTTTTTACTGGACTTCCGCTTATTTTGAGCGAGTCACAAACTCAT